TCATAGAATGGGTAGTAAACATCGCTACAACTCCAATTTTAAGCAAAATTTACACGTGACATTAATTGTAGGGGGATGAGTTACTTTCGTTTTCATGACGACAAAGAATTGAGAACAAATTTATCTACAGTAAATAGATGGAATCGATCTTCTAACCCCCACTCGAGTTGCATTTGTTTATGATGGCTTGTCTTCTTTACAACCTCTACACTAAGAAATACACTGTAACATGTATTTTATAGTGTAGGATAAGAAGACCTTTTTGACGTGGTCATTTGATTGCCGTGTTGGTTTTGCACTCGCATGCGTTATTTTATTTAGTGGTTTCCTACGTAGGTGCAAGGTTTCAGCTAGGTTGGTGTATTTCCCGTATATATATATATATATATATATATATATATATATATATATATATATATATATATATATATATATATATATATAAAGCACTAAAAACCAACAACACTGTATATCCTAAGTGTCGGATCTACTAAGTAGATACAAGGTCACAGATGGAAATTTATATAAAGCACTTAAAATGACCAACGACACGAACAATAATAATTGTCAAATTTTCGGGACAACCTGTCCCTTCCTCAGGACAAAGAAAAAAGTTAAGAAGTCATAAAAACAAAGGAAATAGAGAAGCAAAAACAACTAGCACTACTACTAAATTACCAAACACTAAATATTTACAATGTTACATGTTTAATTTGGAGTTTATAAACAGTTGTGAACAAAGAAATCCGGAGCGCTATGAATTGCGTCCGGTCTATCAGGTGTAATCTGGTGAAGTGTGATTTACATAATTGAACGAATTAATTATCGCTAATTAATTACGGCCAACAGTAAATCGTACATTGTCTTATTCTCTCAAAATAGCGCAAGTCTACATGATAAAAAGAAATTAAAGAAAGATAATATGGAAGGACAATTTTGAAATATGAATTTTGATATATTATAAATTTGGAAATCGGAAAAAAGAAATAAACAAAAATGTGAGCTGTAACAAATGAACTCAACAAGACTCAAGGAAAGAAATTTCTCCGAGACAGTGTTCCACAGACCAGGAACAACCGATCAGAGGTCCGAGTTAACAAAACACGTAAGCCCCGCTCGAGACGCTTCAAGCGCTTAACGACAATCGCGAGGGACGGACCCTCACAAACTCCTTACGTCTGCTCAATAGATCTAGTGTTCCTCTCTCCGAATCGGAGACCTCACTTCTTTCCAAGGGACTGAATTTCTGTCCCACGCCACATGAGGTCGACGAAAAACAAGTCAGAGAGGACACCCGAGCTTTCTTTCGGAGACTTCGGTTGAAGGAGCAATTTTCTAGAAAAAACTCCGAAGTTGACTCATATGACTCTTCTCAGCCACAATTGCACGACCTAGAGGAACACAAACTCTATCGGCCAAAAAGTGACTGGGAACCTACACCGGGCAAATGCGGAGCCCTTGAGTCGTATATTGACGCCGTTGAGTCAGACATAGAGAAACTCCTTTCAATGCCAGACAAGGCTCCCGACAATTTGAGTAAGGAAGAGAGATCCGCCTTACAATCATTAAAGAATCGGGATGACATTGTAATCAAGAAAGCAGACAAAGGCTCTACAGTAGTAGTGCTTGATAAAGAGACGTACATGGCGGAGGCCCATAGACAACTCTCAGACGAACGTTTCTATAAGAAACTGGACTCTGACCCTACTAAAGAATTCTCCACCGCCATCACCAAAACTCTTGACGAAATGTTTGAGAAAAACGAGATTGGTATCAACGTCTATGAGACACTCAATCCTATTCACTGTAGACCAGGACAATTTTATCTGCTTCCTAAGATACACAAAGAAGGTATGCCAGGTCGCCCTATAGTTAGCGCTATTGGACACCCCACGGAGAAAATTTCTGAATACATCGATTTACATCTCCGTCCACACGTAGAGAATTTGCCATCCTATCTCAAGGACACCAGGGACTACATTAACAAGACGCCCTCTACTGGCCTTCCAGATCATACCCTTCTCGTGACTATGGACGTCACATCTTTGTACACCAATATTCCGCACGATGAGGGTATCGAAGCCTGTAGAGAGGTCTGGGATAGTAGATCCATACAAATTCCTTCTACCGAGTCCCTTGCTAAGCTCCTTGAACATGTTCTCAAGTATAACACCTTTCATCAGTCTATCAAATTTACAGTAGACGTATCTAATTCGAAAAACATATTCCTAGATACTACATCTACCCTGACTGATGGTGAAATCGAGTTCAGTCTCCACACGAAACCCACAGATTCCCATCTGTATCTTATGCCAACTAGCTGTCACCCCCCCCCCCCCCCCCACACACACACACATTTAAGGGTGTGCCTAAGGGTCTAGCCACCAGAATTCGGCGCATCTGTTCATCCCCTGCCTTATATCAAGAACAAAGCGGTCTCCTTAAGTCCCACTTATGCAAGAGAGGCTACAATGCCCGCACCGTACAAACTGCTATTGATGAGATGGCGGGACATGACAGGCAAAACCTATTACGCTACAAGGAAAAAGACAATAGCGGCAGGGTCCCTCTGGTAACCACATACCATCCCGTCCTTAAGAACCTCAGCGGTATCCTTCAAAAGAATCTGCCAATTCTCCACTCAAATAAACGAATGGCAGAGGTCTTTAAGGAGCCCCCATTGGCTGCATACAGACGCCCGAGGAACCTGAAAGACATGGTAGTAAGAACCAGATTGGACAATCCATTACCTAACGGGGGTTTTAAAACTTGCTCTGACAGAAGATGTCTTCTCTGTAAGTACAGCTCTGACACAGACAGTTTTAACAGCCCCGTTACAGGCCACAGCTACAAAATACTAGGGAATTTGTCCTGTCAAACAGACAACTGCATTTATCTCATCAGTTGCAAAGTTTGCTCCAAACAGTATGTTGGTGAAATAGGAGATCTCCGCAGGAGAGTCTACAATCACCGTTCTACCATTACTTTTTACTGTTGGCCGTAATTAATTAGCGATAATTAATTCGTTCAATTATGTGAATCACACTTCACCAGATTACACCTGATAGACCGGACGCAATTCATAGCGCTCCGGATTTCTTTGTTCACAACTGTTTATAAACTCCAAATTAAACATGTAACATTGTAAATATTTAGTGTTTGGTAGTTTAGTAGTAGTGCTAGTTGTTTTTGCTTCTCTATTTCCTTTGTTTTTATGACTTCTTAACTTTTTTCTTTGTCCTGAGGAAGGGACAGGTTGTCCCGAAAATTTGACAATTATTATTGTTCGTGTCGTTGGTCATTTTTAGTGCTTTATATATATATATATATATATATATATATATATATATATATATATATATATATATATATATATATATAAAACGTTACATTAATATATACATTCATTAAAATAAAAATAAAAAAAATACTGAAATTAGCCGTTTTTAAAAATATCATATTGCAGTATATAAAATATTTTATTTTGATTTTTGATTTTTTTTAAATAACATATCTAAAAATACACCATCCAGAATCCATGCATAGATTGAATCTTGTAGTCCAATCAAGCACCTCATACATTTTATCATTTACTGCACTTTTTAAATATTGTTACAAGTGCCATTTGGCAAAAAAAAGTCAATTGAAAAAAAAATTGACTAAAGTGAAGCTGATCAAGAAAACCCCATCACAGTGCACTTGATCTATGCAACTTAAGTAATGCTAATGGTTTTAGGAGCCCTCTATTCATTGCACACCTTAGACTTATCTTGTGGTACTTATATGCAGGAAGACTGTCTACATTCTAATTAAAAATGAAATAATTTGAAATTTACAGTATATTCATTGATATTAATCAATTCTAGCATTCTTAACATTTATTAAACCAAAATAAAATTTAATGAATACTTTATTTACATGTATATCAGCCCTGCAGGCTGACACAGTGAAAGAAAGTTTTGCCCATACAAAACCCTGTATTTACGACAAAGTATATTTATATGACTATATGTAACAAAGCTTTATACAATTCAAATTTTCTGAATGTAAAAAAAAATCATAGAGAGGATGATAAAGACTCTATGTGAATATTTAGAGGTATTTTGTCTTTGATTCAAATCTAAATGACAAACATGTACTCTTGTATGTACATAACATTATATATATATATATATATATATATATATATATATATATATATATATATATATATATATATATGCGTGAAAATGTAGGTGTTCAAAAATATGTATTGGTTGACTTAAAGTAAGTTTTATTGTCACACATTTAGGCCTTGCAGTAAATTCCAGTTTTATATGCATCTCATTGAAATTTGAATTGTACATCATATATATGCTTTTCTTTACTCAGAATTTACAATCCAAGGAGTGGAAAAATATGTGGAAAAATATTCAATCATTAAATTCTCGGAAGTCATAAAAAAACCTTTACAAATGTCCTGGAGTGAGAGATAGCTCAGATTTTTATTTTCAAAGTCAAAATTTCAAATCAAAATAAATGAGTTTAAAAATTTTTCTCCATGTAATATTTATAATATACACACCTGCAAAGTTTCATGCACAAAAATGAATTAGAACTCAAGATATTTAAAATCAAAATTTTGACTTAAGTCTGTTCTTAGTTTATGGTCTAGAGGAAGGGTACAACTTTGCTAGGCGTGAAATTTTCAGACTATAGGAAAATAGTCATTTTGCCTTCTAAACATTATATAGGAAATGTTAAGTATAGTAATTCGAGTTATATTTTTATGCTTGTCAGATTTCTTTTAGGGGTTGGGGTTGGGGTTGGTCCCCACTTTTAAACCGTTGCTAAGGACCTGCTCTCTACTTTAGTAAGGTTTATGCATCCATGTGCATTTGCAGTAAAAAAAATATATTCTTTATATATTTATTATAAACATTGAAAATATGATAAGATTTTTAAAAAAAAAAAAAAGACAGGAAATTAACAAGACAGATTATTGGATGAAATATTGGATGCTACATTCGTGTTATCATGAGAATTGATGAGTTGAAAATTGTCATGTTCAGAACTCCCTGGTACACCTGGTCCCCTCCAAATCCTCGTGGAGCATTTAGAAACACTAATCCACATTCATCGAACCACCACCCTCCTCTGAAATCTACTGCACAGTTAAACGCCCATCTATCATTGTCTCTATCATATGTCGAGAACGAAATACCATTCATACCTCCAGCGTAACCTTTACTAAGGTCGCCTGTGAATTAACAAAAGTATGACTGAAAAACGCTTAAAGGCAGATAAGTCCAAATTAAGAAGATATTTTGTTTTACAGGATGTTTAAAAGATATCGTTCATTTACCAGCAGTTCCAGACGCCTTTCCAAGAGTAATGGTGTAGTTTTGAGCTTCGGATGCTACTTTCATGTTGTCAAATCTTTCATACCAGGAACTGCCATTCGTACTTGAAATACCAATATAAAACTGTGTTCTATGTGGAGATGTCAAAAGATGAATGACCTCATTTCCTAGAAAGTAAAGATTGTCATAATATAACAAAATGCCTCCTTTAATAGCAAAGGACTTGAGATTTGTGGCATAAAACAGTTACATTCTCTTAAAAACAGCAACCTAATCAATGAATGTTATCAAAGTTAAAAAAAAAGAAAGAAGATATTTGTTAATGTTATTTGAACAATGAATTGATACAGAAAAAATGAATTTATATGGCAAAATAATTTAAATGATAAAAAAATTATTTATCATTACATAAATCATTTCGGCAAGGTTCATGTAATATTGTGTATTTAATATAATTATCAGAGAAAATAATGTCAAAATAGAAAAACCGCTTTCAAAAATTAATGTTATTTGATCAAAGACTGTTACCAATACATGTATATATGCATTTCGCAGGCGTTCCATACCTGCTTGTTAGATAATGAGAGGTTGCTTTACAGTACAGTACGTATTGGATATCATATGAGCTATATCCGCTGTATAAAGGAGTAATCATGTAATAAAATATCATATTAAATTACAACTGGAAAATTGTTAAGGTTTTCAAATAGGTTTTAAATTTGAATTTTGTGAACTCGAAACATGTAAAATTAGAAGATTGTTTTCTAGTCAAACGTACCCAACCAGAATTCACCAGTGACATTACCAAAGCCATTCTTATATTCTTCCCAGCTCTTATAAAAATTTTCATTTAAAGGATGCCGCCATTGAAACACCTAGGAAAGGACAGATAAAATTCAGAAACAACTTTGTATTTAAAAGCGACTGCAGTATACAACTGATAAGATAAATAAGGACAACTACATGTATATTCAATACAAGCTCATTTGTATTATAGATACAGTATAGATATAAAACTACAGATTGTCGAAAAGGACAATGAGAAGATAGAAAATGATGTAAATGAATCATTATTATTCAATTGATTGTAAAAATAAAGTCAAAGTGAATGCTTTTAATTCACCAGACATATTGATATAGTTACACTGACTAGATGCTTACAATAACGCTATATATTTATAAATTTAAACTACTGAAGTTGTTAAGCTTGATTTTATGCAAGCGTTAGTAGCGTACATTTGAAGGAGCAATAAAAAGCAAGATAAGAATCCCCTCACCGTCCAGCCTTTGGGCTCAACATCCATATTACAGAGCACGTCTATTGGCCTCCCCCTGGATCCCCATGGATAGATTTGGTATATGCCCGTTTTATTATAACCTTCATGTAAGATTTCCCAGCAATCAAACGGAAACGGATCTAAAACATTAAACACTATTATTTTTCACTGGTTCTTTGGAATTGTTTTCATTCTTGAGTATAAAACTTTGGTATTCAATTTTTATTAAAACAGAAATATTGAAAATAGCGAAAATTGAATGCAAAAGGAAAAAAAAAAGAAAAGAGACAAAATTCCAAATACAAGGTACATCGTAATTGTATCAATATTATAAAATAAATTACATACATGTAATACAAGGGTTTTCAGGTAAAATCGTGGACAAAGCGTTTTTATCCAAAAATTAAGGGCACACTAAGCTGCAATTTTCAGCAAAGGTTTATTATCATTTAAGTCCATCATAATTTTTTTGATAAAATATAGACAAAATATAGATTCTATTACACTAGAATGTGCCCAGGGTACGGTCATATGGCGCACGATAAAAAAAACAACAACTAGGGTTTCATTCTAGAATACGTGGGTATTATTTCGAAATAAAAGTTTGAAATCGATACGACTGGGTTAAAAACTATCCACTTATTTTAATTCATTATCTATTTTGTCGACATCTGGAAAATTTCAAGGTATTTGTATGCATTTAACAATATTCAAATTCAAATTATTCGAATATACAGTTGTATATTTAATAATCAGCCTTGTTGCAAAATTATTTCATTACTACTTTAATTTTGAATAGTTCAGTTAAGAATGTCAGCTCTATCTGTTCTGATTCTGATATAACTTCATTTTTGAGGGGCTGATTTCATAACTTGTTCTCTAATCTTCACCCATGAGGCCCACATGAACGATTTTAAAGTTATAAGAATTGCGTATTCATTTGCAAATTCAATTATCAACATCTATTTTTTCTAAATCATACAAACGATATTGTAAATCTTTCAGACGATTTTAAAAAAAATTGAAAATCGAAGCTCTTATTAGTTATTATAGAGAATACCTGAAAATAACAACTTCAGAAGTACTTGAAAGAGTACATAGTGATTGATGAGTTTGTTAAGGAGATTTTTAACTAAAACTAACATATCCTACTGATCGTACATGTAAGTCTTGATCTAGTGTTCAACTGCTCAGGTATGTTAAGGCAGCACATAGATCAGAATTCGGTGAATTTATACTTTTTTGTAAAATGTAAATAAATCGGGCCGTAGATAAAACATTACTATTTTTATCCATTTAATAGACGTCATACAGTCCGACTAAAAGAAGCAATCCACTATATGAAATAACATAACGTCTATAAATAGAAAAAAAATGCCTTAATGAAAAAGTGAAAAGTTCAAAACTGCCCTGTGGATAATTCATTTCTCTTCTTTGTTATCATGATAAGTATGTGAAAACATCACTGGGCCATGAAAAGTGCTGCTTGAATCCTACACTCCTCGGTCTTATGTACACAATGTAAAAATTTTGCTATAGCTTCATGCGAAAACAGGGAATAATTATTTCTGTGATAGGAATTTTCATCAATTTATGTTAAGCACACGATCAAGTATTGTAGTATACAAGCTTTTGATAGAAACAAAATTTATGTATTGAAGTATGCGGTGTAGTGTTGAACTTTTGCATCTTTTTTGTTACGAACGACAGAAGAAAGACTGAACGGGATTTCATAACACTGCCAGTCTTCATTAAACGACAAAATGATACAAATGAATCAGCACACCATGTCCCTAATCTTTAATTCCTTATGAATCACACATGATATTTGTGGTATATGCTTTTAAACTCCCATTTCATATATGTGTTCACACGAATTCTCGTTACCTTTTATTTTCACTCTGCAGATATTTGATCAATAGTTATGACGTCATGGGTTCGGTAAAAGTACTTGATTTTATTAAAATTAAATAATTTCGGTTCATAATCTTAGCACTTGTTAACAGTTTTTGGTTATAAATGCATGAAATAAATTGACGTATTAACCCTTTTTAGAAGATAAAAATTACATGGAGACTAAATATTACAACGTAACGTAGCTTAATACATATCCCCAAACACGGTGATTCTTATCCATATACATTTGTGGATTTGTAGGAAGAAAATATTGAGATACGAATTATGAAAATATATGATAATTATGAAGAAGCAATAAGAATCCTTTATTCGAAATCCTGGTAATTACAGATAGCAAGAGATTTTAAAAAAACGGAAAAAGGGGTGGTTATTAATTTTAAGAGGGCTTTTCAGGCAACAAAACAAAGTTTATGGGATCTGTTATCAGTTTTGATTCAATAAATGTTTGTATTATATGCTTTTCGTTCATTAAATATAGAAGCATTTATTGTAAATAATGTAAGTTTTAATCTAATCTTGTAAATGCCTCATGTAACTTTGATATTATTAATAAAACATACACTTAAGTGTTGTAGTAGTTGATGGAGTTGTAGTTATAGTTGTTGTTTTCACTGTTGATGTCGTTGATGGTAGAAAGTCGGTGCCTTAAATGATATTAGAGTTAGAATCATAGGAAAAAATTCTATTACTGGTCTAGATATGATTATTGCGCCTTTATTCCAACAATTGGTTACAAGTGTGGTTAAAAAAATCGTATTAACAAAATATTTTAGTAAGCAAAAGAATATTTAGTCATACATCCTAGGTTACAAAGATCGGTGTTGCAGCATCTCAGACAACGCTCAGCTTTTCGCTTTCCAAAAATGCTTGTGCTACCCTTGTTACAAATCTGGGAAATAACGGAATAAACATCGTTAAAGTCATATTAATTATTATTATATTTGAAAAAATATCTTCGCAAATACAGACCACAAATCTCAATTGTCAATGGAATTTTGACTGTTCTATTTTAGCAAAAAAAAAAAAAAAAAAAACCTTTCATGTATAATTGGCAATTATATTATGATAAGGAATTTGAATTTGCTTTTGGTGAATTAATTATTTTAAAGGACGAGACGGAGGATAACATGGAATGGCATACCATTCAAACCCCATTTTTGAATTTAATGTTGAACAATATGTTAATTGAGAAGTTATTAAGTTTCTAAGTTGGCAAAAAGGATTTATATTCTGCACAAAATCTCTATATTTCTGAGGAGGGATCAGATTTTCTTGTGCAGCACGTTAGTTTAACAGATTTCGTACGCCTATTCGATAATAAGTTAAAAAATAAATTACGATAGAAAACTAAACTTATTCAAAGTACGTGTAAACTTTAGTTAACTAAAGTTAATACTTAAACTTTAGGTTAAAATTTAGGAATTAATTTAAAAAAAAATAAACAGCAACGATTGCAAAAAGATCTTTTCAATTAAACTTGTAAGATTCTTTGCATTGTGTATATGAGCATTGGAATTGAATGAGATTTAGATTTATTGAAGTCATTGCCATGAGATAAATACATTATTTTTAGTTTTCTTTAAGTTGACCAATTTCCGAATGATTTTGTTTTGCCCACTTTCTAGACACTCACATGCTTTTGGGAGCAGGATTGTATAAATATGGAGTCACCAAATTCAACTTCCTCTCGGAGATGACATATCTGTGTAAAACAAAATATTCTTCTTGAAAATATACTTTTATTTATATTCTTTGCTATACCTGATGTATATTCATAAAGTTCATATTCGTAATTTTCCATGCTGCTGAATGTAAGTTCATTATACATAACACAAATACAACAAAGTTTAGTTAAAACAATATTTAATCGATGAAATTGACAACGTTACAAATACACTGATAATAAATACAATAGCCATGAGGCTTATATTAACCCCTCTTTCTTCAAATTCAAGTGAGAAAACATGTACGTAGATGAAACCTTATATAGTACACTCAGAAAGGAAACGTTTCATACATATATATAGTGAACAGTTTACTGGAATTGAAGCCGTTGAAAAATCTCCAAAAATTCCAATTTTTACATACCAAAGTAAAAATTTACCTCACTCATTCATGCCACATCACAAATAAAATTTCAACTAATATTTATCATTTAATATTGAATGCAGGAGCGTCACATACATTACTACAGGTATTGCCTTGATTCCGTGATAAATTAATAAATTCACCATACATATTGTTAGTACATCCAAAGAATGCTTAAATTACAGTTTCTTAGACAAATCATAGTATGATCCTATCCTGATCCTATGTATAATATTACTAACAGGCATTTATGTGATAGGTGTATGAGAACTACACAAACACATAGAGCAATAAATATTGAGGATCAGACATGTGATAGGAAAGACTGCTACATTACACACATATATATATAGATCTTCAGACACTTATTTCTTTCAATTCCAGGTTTCAAAGGAGATATACACGTATATGAAAACTGTGCATATGAATTAAACAAAAACAATAACATATTTACAAACAGAAGGAACAATCGTCATATGATCGAAAAATGGTTTTAGAAAAACCACGTGATAGGAATGTGGTCTTAATTTAAATGAACAATTTAAATCCTTAAAACAGGAAAGAATCTCAAGGTAATAACGACTAGGTTATCTATAACGGATATAAGAGAGACATTGATTATTGTTTGTATATTGTAACGAGCCTGTAACTAAGATGTTAAGAAAAATCAACAATATTTTTTTAAGATATTAAACTTTGCTGGCCAATTTAAGCAATCAAGAATGATACCTAGATGAAAAAGCATTTTTTCCATATCTTCAGGAGAGTTGATCATGTGTTTGTGTTCATTATGATCAACAATAAAATTTTTGCCCTCCCACACAAAGGTAGATCTTGCTTCGCTTTTTTTTAACAATCTGCCGGGCTTGGTATGCAAGATTATTTCTTGTTTTCGTTAGATCCTGGTTAACTGTTTCTTTTTTCATACCGCCGATTTTTCTAAGCTTCTTGCAGCATTTGAGGATTCTGTGTCTTAGATCGTAGTTATTAATTCTGGCAATGATTTAACGTTGTTTATCTGCTGACTTGCGGCCAACTCGATGTGATACAGCGATGTCCTCCTTCTTGAGGGGAATTTTCAATTTGGTTGCGATTTCTAAGAATACAGCTACGCCTACTTATACATCTGCAGATCGTCGATTTCCTTTTTGAGTGACATGTTCTCTTTTGGAGCATAGTTATCTGCTCTCTTAGGGGATCAATCATATTTGTACTGTCACAATGATACCTCTCAATGCTTGAGCAATACGCTGGACGTCGACATCAGATATGAAAGCCTGGGATGCTGGTTGGTATTGTGCAGGAAATGCCATCTGAGGGTAAGGTACTTGGTACTGGGGACTTTGAGTAGATTGAAAATAGACAGTATTTTGGCTAGGACTGGTCATATCTGTAGCAACAGACATTGTGAATAGATTTTTGTTTTTGATTGTTGCACTGAAGATGGTGAAGGTTCGGATTCAGTGAATCATAGAGAACGTTTACGTTTAGTTAAATGATCAAAAGATTTTGACATGAGCAATACAAACCACAATCCACAGCCAGTGAACTCAACTCACTGATAACTTACTGACTGCACAGACGATAAACAAAAAAATGAGATCAATGGATCTGGGCTCAAAATGTCCAAAAAATGTCATGAAAACATTAATTTAAAGTATGTAACAATACCTCTATCCACTTAGGTCACAAGCTCCTACACAGCAATGTTAAGGCGTACTTCGGAGAAATCAACAGAATATAAACGTGCATAAATACATCCCTTTTTAAACTGAATTATTTTTGTAAAGGTACTATATTATCACATGACTTTAAATATTATTTGAAATAACATTGTATACCTCGCTCTGTGAAAAATGCATATAATGTGTACTGTATGTAGGTCACAAACAAATTTCAATATCGCAAGAGCATACCCTAGTTAAAATTAAAAATTTAGGTAATAAATTGTTTCTACATAACTTGTGGTTTATGGAAAGTGCTGCTGCTTTAAATAGAATTCGCATTTTAATAGTTTAAATTTCAGGTTATCTGGCTTATGTCGAAATATCTGTGACCTTTATCAAGTATTTTATGTATTAATTAAGTAATGCTCTCGATTTCAGGAAAGCAGCAGCACTTTTCAAGTTAAGGAATATGTCCGTTATGTATATTCAAAAAATGGTCAAGATCTATTAAGTGTATGCCCTTGCGAAAAGGCGATTTAATGAGGCACCTCGGCGTGAAACATGCACACCCTGTAGACAAAACATGGTAGAATTAATTCAATACATTCTCTCGATAGTAGTTAAATAATGACACTCAACAAACGTTTCAGATTTGTATTAATGGTCTACTTAAGATTTGCAAATAATATTCTGTTTAATAATAAAATGCATTTTTCACTGTGAAAAAATTACTTGATCCGCCTCTCACTGCACATAAAATGCGTCAAATTTTACCATGATGACGTCATGTCGACAAGTGCATTGCCATCAGTGACTTGTCTATATCTTGCTGTGTGGGATTTAACTAGCGACAAAAATGAATGTAGTGGTAAGCTTTGATGTAGTTCATTACTCTTATGCAGCTAAGAATCGCAAATTATTTCATTTTCTGTTATTGTGAGGAATTGCTATATTTGTGTGATGTCACAGTAAATTTTTCCCGTATAAATTAGGCCCCGCCCCCTTTATGCAGCCTTAACAGAGCTGCGTATCACAAGGTTTGATAGTTTCACATTACTTCAAAGTAAAAATACACGAACTCTCACTGCTAGCGCATGCATGAATAAGCAAGAAAGTTTGATCTTATTGTTACATCGTTTAAACAATTATAAAGAAATTTAGAGTTGTTTAATAGATTTATGTAGCAAATAACCATGTTTATGTTTGAGATATTATAAAAAAAATTCGGGAAAATAGTTGCAAAATGTTATATAACACAGTATTTTTGTGTAAATGTTTTGCGTAAAAATCCCTTTCCTAAATTCTATCGGTAATCGTTATTCTGTGATTTCAAGAAAATCTTCTAATTAATATTGTTCATCTCAAAAGAGAAAGTCGATTTTTAATCGTATTTAATACGCCGAATTACAATCAAGGGTAATAGAGCAAAATATTTTTAGAATATTTAATAATATGACTGCACTCTGAAGCTTGAGACATGAATTTTGATGTACATTCTAAAATTTTACCTCAATTCAAAGTAATGCGCATATGTATTACTCTCTCTCCGTCATGATAGCTCAGATTTGTATCGATATGACTTCATATTCCTTTATGACGTCATATTTTTGTAGTTCAAAGAAATGACTGCATGGGGGTGTACTGTGATATTTCTGGGGAAACCTACACCTACCTCTGATTTTAAAATTAGTAGTTGTGTATTAAAAATGTAATTAAAATGCACGTTAACAGTTGATGTACTAGCGGATACCACTTGTTTTATTAAAAAATTATTAGTATTAATTACCTCATTTTCGTCACAGACTTTGACAGAACTACAAACTGTAGGGTCTGCTGATTGAGGACAGTTGAAACAGAGCGGACCTCTTCTACTTGGATAGTCTGTAGCAGGGAAAAAAATAGACAGTAAAATCATCACCAAATATTATTTTTCCTGAATCCCTAACAAAGCAGACTGATAGATTCAGATCAACTTGTCTATGTCTATCTGATGCCTGTCTCTAACAAAAATAAAATTTGAACCGTATGGGATTTGGTATTAATAGTTGAACAAAGTTTTAAAAATATTCATACTGACACACGCACATATTTATGAATGTGTTATTTAGAACGAGATTTTCTCGTTCTGGGGCTTATGAAACATCGATCTTAACTAGATAATCAACCTTGTGACTCTGAATGTAACTGAAGTTATATATATACAATGTATTATTACTATTCTTACACACCTACATTTAAAAGAACGTTTCACTTATATGCACTTTACTATCATCATTTTTCCTGTATCTATATATATATAGATGTCGGGATTTTATATGAGGAATGTAAAAAAGATTTTTCCTTAAGTATTAGGATTAGAGACCTCCTGTGATGAATTGAACATTTTTGGTAAACTTTCGTAATATATGCTGTACAAAAATGTTTATATGTTTCACTGTGTGTGGGATAAGCCAAACACTCTTTCTTTTATTAGCAGGGATCGTTCTTAGACCCCTTTTTCACACAATGGAGCTGAATGAATAATATTTTATTGTTGTTGTACAAACCTATTCCCCCACATCCTTTATGATTGCAAGCATCAGACGTACAACATTCCACACATTGTTCAGTATGAGCATAGGCAGGGTTGTGGCTCCTTAACAATCCAGATAAGGTCCGATTATAACAGATCTATGATAGTTGTAGAGAAAAATATGGAAAATGATGAATCAAACTATCGATAAAGTTAGAATACTGCTTTTTACATAATTAAATCTTAACATATTGGTGCCTAAATAATCTCTTTAAAGTAAACACAAGATAAGTTTATATGTAATTTTAAGAACATATCTGAACGTGTTATTTATAACATATTCTTTTTTTTTATTTACCGCTAATTTCTACTTTCTAATCCAATCTTTAACATTCTTATTTGTTATTTGCTTCTCATGATATTTAAGTTTTCAATCGTGCACTTCCCCTATTTATGTAGCAATATACCCTTATCACCTGTATATAGGATTTATATCTCTCAGTTAATTCGATTCGCTTGGGCATGCTCTACATACGAACATTCAACAATTTCTAAAACGAGGCAAGCTATTGATACCAAGTTGATGAAACAAGAATGTCAACAGTCTCGTTTAAAGTCATCATTTCGCAAGTTATATTGTCGATAAAATGACCTTGTCAGCAAATACATTCTGTCAAGAAGACTTAGTGAAAAGTTGACTGATGTTTTTCATACTAAGGAATTGTCTACGGATTTTCCTGGTTTTTTTTTTCAATCATGACATGGATCAATCGGCGGGTTTGACCGGTTGGTAGGGGATGCCCAATCTTCCAGGTCACCTGTTCCCAACTCTGATGATTTTGGAGCTTCATGTTTGCTCTGCTTCCAATTTTTTGTTTGAATGGACTTATGAGCTTGAATACTGTTCGTTATCTCCATATTTCATTAAAGAATTTATTCATTTAATTAATGGCTATACATTGAGAGTGTATATGTAAATTAAAATGAAGATTGAAGAGAGTAAAAACTAGAACAGAATTGAAAAACTGAAACAAAATTAAAATAGTTTTATAGCATTGATTGAAGAGCATTTTTAAAATAAAAAGAAGAAATACAAATATGACAATATCTATGGAATAGATTTATTATTTTTTTTTATTTCACAAATGTGTTTCCGAAAGTTCTGAATACAGTTTGATTGTTTTATCAAAGTACATGACTTGTATTTTCGTCATGGGGGAAAAAATCATTTCTAAAAATCTCACACAATAACCAGGAAATAAAATTTTATATTAAAAGTCCTGCTCTGTAATATTCTGACAGAAAGTCAGAAAATAAAATATCAATTTTATCTATTTGATTAATTATTTAATACACGTTAATTCATAACTTACGTACTGATGGAGTATGGCATCCTGTGTCAAATAAAACTTCTCCGTTTATTCCTGAATATCTTTGGGTAAAACAAACCTTCAAGAAAATGAAACATGAAGATAACGAACCTAACCTACAAGAGAATTTCTTTCCTTAAATCAGCAATTCAAAGTATTTCCAATTAAATTATGTAAGAATTGCCATCCTCTGGAATATTGCCCTAATGCCTCCCATTCTTGCAAAGAAATTTGTTAAAGTAGCAATACTTTAATCACAGAATATTGGGGAAAATTATATATTATTAAGAAACGTGTCGTCTTACCTTAAATGATTTATATTGATTTGTTAAAAAGCTTTTTTTTTTTTTTTTTTTTTTTTTCTAAATTGTTAAATAGTTCAGTTATTTCAAAATTGCTAAAAGCTTTATTGTTTGAAACTTTTTTTCGTTGAAAGAGCTAATTAATTGAAAATTGCAAAAAACTGAATACTAGTTATTTCTAAATTGTTTTAGAAAAATCAACGTGTAGAAAAATAACTTCAAATGTACGTATAAGCACTGATATTTCCACTGACTGATAACAATTTTCATTAATATCAGACTTGACACGAGGCCCTTGAAGTTTAATTTGTGTATCAATTATAATCCAGAAGTCCCTAGGATATATGAAAAAAAAAATCAAGATTTGTTTACCTTCCCTGCATCACACTTTTGAATTGTATGACAATGTCTTGGAGAGATGACTGCGGTGCAACTCAAACAGTATAGGACATCTAAAAGATATAAAAACATTTAACATATTCTACATGTAGCCATTAATTACAATTTAATGACACATTAAAGGGGTATTTATGTTTTTCCGGCGAAATTACTACAGGAATTGCTACAACATTTAAGTTGACAATATTGAGTGCATACACCTATTAACATCAATTCTGAATACTTTTGAAAGTTAGAATGTATCTCTCTGTAATCTAGTTCGAAATATGACCTGGCAACAACTCAAATTTAAAGAATTCAAACCAAAATGCATCTACGTTCTAAGTTGATTATGCAAACCTTTAAACTTTTTTTAAGACATCAAACTCTCTTGTCATTTTTTTTTCAAAGTGTTGATAGTTATTATTAAGAAGATTACTAGTATTCTCAATTTGCAGAAAAATAATAATACGAAAAAATTCAAGAGTCTATATCTTAAGCTGTATCTACTTCGAAAGAGGAGTAATTCTTTTTTTTCGTCAGCATTCTGTTGTACTTTTTTTCATGCTTTCATGGGAAAAATATAGTTGCCTTGCTAACCACAAGACCAAATCAAGAATTTAAAAGGAAATACCCTGTTTCTATTTATTAACATGCCAAAGGCCAACGTATAATAAGATAATTTGTGGACGAGTGTAATATTTTCATAGTAAATCACATAACAATCACTTTACATGTTTGTTACTCTAATAAGAGAAAAAATGTTTAGAAAATCAGTAAAAATAAAACAAGTAGATAGGCATTTGCAAAGTTTCATAAAATATTTTAGAATGTCTTTTCCAGAGATACTTTGAAAGAGTAACGTATATATTAGAACTTTTTGAAATGATGTTCATAAAAACATTTTTGACGTTCATAAAACAAAAACAAGGGAAAAAGCAGACAAGATACACACACACAAAAAAAAAATAGAAAGACAAGGAATCACATTTAAAGGCCAACACTTACACCCTTGCCCGAAGAAAGCATTGATGTTGAAAGTGCAAATAAAAAACCAATTGCAAAACCTTAAGGTAAAACGAGAGAAAAAAAACTAAATATACTTGTATTTTTCATCATTTTTTCAATATGAAGACAACCTTTCACCAACATTATTTATGTTATGAAGTCTAGTCATACCAAAATAGAAGAACAAGGTACGGTTTCAATACAATTCTTGCCCTGTGTTTTTCTTAAAAATGAAAGTGATGTGAAAAATTAAAACTCATGCTTTCTGAATCATTGAAATTCCGTGCAGAAAGATCATACACATCATTTTTCTCTCATGACCTTCTAAATGCTAATTGTGACGTCATAAACTTGTGCAATTTCCCGTATTTTCTTAAAAAATTGCAGAAGACACCAATTTTCAATGGAATTTTCTTTCAGATAATATTGTTCACAGCCATCGCCCACAAAGATTTTGAGATATGTGATTTTTCAAAGAATTTTACACAACATAGCCAAAAACTAAAGTGGGCGATGGCTGTGGACACTATTTTTTTTTAAGGAAAATAACCCTTGAAATGAGTCATATTTAGGCATTTTCTGTTTAGAATAGAGAAATGAATTAAATTGATGACGTCATATTTCCAGAATGGTACTCCTTCATGCCATATTCTTTCCTGATTTATCACAGTCATATACTCAACTAATATTTAAGCCAGTTTCAAAACCTTTGGAAAACATTAGATTTTTAGGGCACAATAAAGCTAATACCGTACCTTCTTCTTTGTCACGTTTACGAAACATAAAGGACCAAAGATTTAGTAGTCTCGTCCAGACCCATATTTACGTAACATGGGATAGAACTAAAATATTACTAGTAGTTATAGAGCTTTCGAATAAATATTTTTACTCAATGATGTATATCAAAATATTGAGCTACAGAATAATCACTTGGCCCTCTGAGTCTGTAATGTGAGAGATAAACACTTTTCTTTGATATCAAAAGAAATATCTCATCATTTTAAGCTCTTTCCATTTAAAAACGGTCGCCCGCGTGGGGCAGTGGATAGAGCGTCTGCTCTAGAGTCGCGAAGTAAGGAGTTGATCCTTACGTCGCGGGTTCGAATCCCACTGTGGGACGTGGAGACCGGTCCTTCGGAAGAGACCGTATAAACCGAGGTCCCGTGTCGCAGTAGGTGATAGCACAAAAAAGATCCCTCACTGCTCAATGGCCGTAAGTGCCGAGTATAGGACAAAATTTGCAGCTCACCACCGGCAAGTGGTGGCGTCTCCATACATGTATGAGTAAAAAATTCTCGAGAGGGACGTTAAACAACATACAAACAAACAAACAAACATTCAAAAACGTCAGAGATTTGTTTTTTAGATAGCTTTAGAACAGACAGGTTGACATAGATAGAAACAGTAAAACACAACCGAAAACATAAATTATTTACATCTTTTTATAACATTAGTAATTGTGATTTATTTAATTTTTCATCTTAAATAATTGTTATCTGAAAATATCATCAGTATTAACTTTGGGAATCAATCTGTAGAAGACATACCAACTGTGCCAGTTATGGTTGTCGCAAAAATTACTGAAATTAAATTCATTATATAAAATTAGAAATTTTTAACAATTATTATACATAAGAATTTTACAACAATTGATTAAATAACGAAAATAATATATGCAAACCTAAAAATACGTTAGTAATAAACATTTTAGTCCGTGGAACACATAAAGTTTCCGTGTACAGATAAGGATTTCCACTTTGACTTTATATGCTGATAGCATATCTCTACTAAATGAATAGAGTGCTATTACACATATTGTAAATCTACGCCTATTTCACTGTCAATTACGAGGGTTGTCCGGTAAAATAGTTGACAAAGCGTTTTAATCGAAAAATAATGGGCGCACTAAGCTGAAATTTTCAGTGAATGTTTATTTATCATATTTAAGTACATCTTAATTTTGTTGATAAAGATGTAAACAAAATAAAGATTTTATTATGCTTGAAAGTGCACAGCGTACGGTCCTACGGCAACCGATCAAACAATCTGGGTTTCAGTAGAGAATACACAAGTATTATTTGG